GATAAGATAAGATAAGATAAGATAAGATAAGATAAGATAAGATAAGAACTTTATTGATCCCGCAGGAAATTGTTGAATAGGGTTTAGTTGCAGTCAATGTAATATACAACGCCAATCTCAGAAATTCATGCAAACACTACTTTAGTGAACCTTTACGCTGCCATCAGTTTTGCATTACACAGTAGCTCCAATATAAATAATAATAAAAAAAGTTGTGATATTCCTGCAGGAAGTGCCCCAGGATGCACAAGAAGGGCTAAAGCTAGCTGCTGCAGAAGAATTTCACGATAGTAACTGTACAATGTAAACCTGATCGTAATGTGAATATTTATAAAATGATGTTTGCATCAAACTTTTGAGGAATAGAGGACTGTTATAACAAATGAGTAATTTAAATTGTGTCTAAAATGACTAAATGAGAGCAGGTGAGAAAAATACAACAGAAGGCCAGCTGTTTCAAGTAAAAACAGGAAGTAAACAGAAAATACGAGGTAAAACTTTTCAGGAAAATTAAACTGGAAGCAACAGGACAGGATCTAGAACAACAAACTAGCAAACATGACAACAGAACAAATAATGTAAGAGAAGAACAAACAACAGAACCGTAACTCATGAGAGACTGGAGTTGGTTGAAGAAGCAGCAGTCCACTCTTGGCTCCACTGTAACCAGCCTTGAGCTCGTCAGTGTAGTCATAATTAAGCTTCATTTTTTTCAGCATGAGAACATTTAGAGCGGTCTACAACACTTACAATCATAGTTGTTCATGCCCTTTCTACAGAAACCCACTACAGCAGAGCTGAAGTGTTCAGAATGATTCTTTTGTTCAATATTTAAAACCCTGTTTTAGTTCATTTATTTGTTTTTTAGTCAGTGTCAAGGACAAAGGGGTAATCTCCCCTCTAGACGTTGCAGAACATAAAAGCTCAAACAGGTTGCAGCCTTGGACCTACAGGGCAGAGTTCGGCTGTTTAACCCTTTCACTTCCATTTGACCGGCGGGGAGTGCAGTGAGACAGGCTGAGAGGTTGACAGGTATTGGCTGCTGAAGAGCTATAGACTCAACACCATAATACCCACAAATCCTGGGTCAGTGTCCCGTCTGAGCCCGGTCAAGCCAATGAAGTCTAGGTTTGGGGTTGGGACTTTAAAATCCGGGTCACGCTGGGGTCAAACTGCATTACAAAGAAACCCAAGCGCACACATCTCCACCTCCCCCACTCCGTCTTTTTTTCCTGGTGGGGATGATTGACAGGCACACCCTTACCACTGACACGCTGACAGCTACAGCTCAGCCTCTTTGGTATGTGAGCGAAGGTGTGTGTTTGTGTGTGTGAGCTGGTAATGGTGGGGTTATGGTCAAGGAGGGTCAGCCTGCGTTGTGACTGACAGTCCTTGAAGAAGTCCTGCACATTTGGCCTGAGTGGTGATGTTGTGTGTTGGGGTGTCTTTTTGCTATTTATTTATGGAACAAAGCAAAAAAGGTGGAACGAGGAAGACAAAGGAAAGTGTTACAGGGTCACGCTTTTAAATTAATACTCTGTAATTTAGTTTCTCGCTGTTAATATTTGCTGCAAATAAACAAGGACATTATTGTCTTGGATTAATTTCACCTAAAATCTAAAGAGTAAATTTACTCTCGAGCAAAATGTTCTTCAGTCTGTCTGAAGTAGCAACCTTTTCTTTATATTTTCCCGTAACAAGCTGTTCTTTTATCTCAGCTTCCTCTCTTGCTCTTGTTCCCCTCTCCCTGTAGCCTATTAAGCTTCAGTATTAATTTGTGTGCGCGCTCGTGTGTGTGTGTGTGTGTGTGTCTGCAAGTGTGCCTGTCAGAGAGAGTTCATTTGAATTTCCCTTCAATCACTTCTTATTACTCAGCTGATAAATCAGGAGGGCTAACGGCGCCCTCACCCATCTGCGCCGCTCCGGGTCCAAGTGCACATCTCATCACCAAATAAGCTACACAGAGACAGAGAAAAGGAAAATCATGATTATGA